TCACTATTGACCCATTACAAGGTTGACTAGACAGTATTTTAACTAGAGTTGATGACAAACTGGAGTTGAACTGATCAGAGCCTGTTCCTTTGTTAGGTCTAATGCTCCTTTTTTCAGGCAGACAACTTTTATTAAATGTTTTTACTGCAGTTAAAATGATACACTGGTTTTGCCATCCATCCATCCATCCATTTTCTTCCGCTTATCCGGGGTCGGGTCGCGGGGGTAGCAGCCTAAGTAGGGAGGCCCAGACTTCCCTCTCCCCAGCCACTTGGGCCAGCTCTTCCGGGGGAATCCCGAGGCGTTCCCAGGCCAGCCGAGAAACATAGTCCCTCCAGCGTGTCCTGGGTCTTCCTCTGGGCCTCCTTCCGGTGGGACGTGTTCGGAACACCTCACCAGGGAGGCGTCCAGAAGGCATCCTAAACAGATGCCCAAGCCACCTCAACTGGCTCCTCTCGACGTGGAGAAGCAGCGGCTCTACTCTGAGTCCCTCCCGGATGATCGAGCTTCTCACCCTATCTCTAAGGGAGAGCCCAGACACCCTGCGGAGAAAACTCATTTCGGCCGCTTGTATCCAAGATCTCATTCTTTCGGTCACAACTCAAAGCTCGTGACCATAGATGAAGGTGGGAACGTAGATCGATCGGTAAATTGAGAGCTTCGCCTTTTGGCTCAGCTCTCTCTTCATCACGACAGACCTGTACAGCGCCTGCTTCGCTGCAGATGCTGCACCTATCCGCCTATCGATCTCACGCTCCATTTTTCCCTCATTCGTGAACAAGACCCCAAGATACTTGAACTCCTCCACTTGGGGTAGGACCTCCTCCCTGACCCAGAGAGGGGACTCTACCCTTTTCCGGCTCAAGACCATGGCCTCGGATTTGGAGGAGCTGATCTTCATCCCGGCCGCGTCGCATTCGGCTGCGAACCGCTCCAGCGAAAGCTGTAGATCACGATCTGATGAAGCCAATAAGACCACATCATCTGCAAAAAGCAGAGACGCAATCCTAAGGCCACCAAAACAGATCCCCTCAACACCTGGGCTGCACCTAGAAATTCTGTCCATAAAAGTTATGAACAGAATCGGTGACAAAGGGCAACCTTGGCGGAGTCCAACTCTCACCGGGAACAAGCCCGACTTACTGCCGTCGATGCGGACCAGGCTCTGACACCGGTCATACAGGGACCTAACAGCCCGTATCAAAGGGCCCGGTACCCCATACTCCCAGAGTACCCCCCACAGGGTCCCCCGAGGGACGCGGTCGAACGCCTTCTCCAAGTCCACAAAGCACATGTAGACTGGTTGGGCAAACTCCCACGCACCCTCCAGCACTGGTTTTGCTTTGTGTTAAATTAAAACTTCCAAATGTATAATCATTCCTCTTTCTTATTTTGATTAATGGCATTTAACTCTGCAGGTCATCCCTGAAATTCTGATGCACAGAATCACAAGTCCAAGTGTGAACCGTGTCATATAGTAAACACAATAAAAACATGTATTATTTGCAGCATTGTTCATTAAAATGGCTCAACACTATTAATGTATTACAGAAAATATACATACGGTAGGTACACTTAATGATATTGTAGACCATTGCATTAGGTAATCCATTCAGCAAGTACTTTTACTTTTAATACTTTAAGTATTCTTAAAAGCAAGTACTTACTTACTTTTACTTAAGTAAAAATGTTAATGTAGTACTTTTACTTTTACTAGAGTAAATTTTTGTCTGTCTATTTGTACTTTTACTTGAGTACAGTGTTTGAGTACTTTCTCCACCACTGCACTGGACTCTACTGCAGCACCTTCAGTTGTAGACTGAGACCACCGAGGTGCTCCACAGAACACCACATATAGATTCCTCCCTGTGGCTATCAAACTTTTCAACTCCTCCCCCTTTGTACACATAGAATAATAAAATTAATCCTGCACTACAATAAACACTTTAATGTTTCTGTCTGCACCTGACCTGTTTTAGACCTTCATTGTTGGTATTTTTATATTCTCTATTATTTTTTTATCTTGTGTGATTCCCTGTGAGTGTTCCTTTGTATTGAAACTCTGGTACAACAATTTACTGCAGTATCAGTAAATTCATTATCTTGTCTTTTGATTTACTATCAAAACTACGGTAAGCACAACAAATATAATTTCTGGTAGTTTCTGCCAATCAGACACTGTCACTGTAATGAAAGTGACAACTGTATCCAAGGGAAACAGGCTGGCAGGCTGCATCCTCCATCAATCACTTCAACAGCTCTGACTGAAGCAGACGTAATGTTAATTAGAATGTAATGCTGTTCACGCGCTCGTCCGCTCACCTGTCTGTATTCATTTCTGTGCTTCACAGCACCAACACACACACACACACACACTATATTCATACAGGACACACATCTGCTCATGTTCTGAAACTGACAAGTTCAAACAAACACATCACAGGATGTTTCTGCTCCACAGAGCACTGAAAGTCAAACATGTTGAAGGTAAAGTACACTGTACTGTACTTGTCACCTGGGATCAATATGCTAAACACTCCTTGTACATTGTTAATGAAATAGCTAGGTTATGCAGAATTTACATGATTCTTCTAATCTTGCCAGGGTCACTAAGCATCTTTCAGTTTTGACTTTATGGTTTTCTGATTTCTGTATAAAGACATTCTTACTACAAATACATTTAAAAATGTACCATATTTTTTGGGACTATAAGGCGCACTGGATTATAAGGTGCATTAAGTGAAACAAAACAGTCAGATAAGTCAAACTTTATTCAACTCATTCACAATAACCATATAAAATTGGTTTGAGGTCAGTAAGCACAACCAGAATTATTACATAAAACACACCGGATTATAAGGCTCACGAGCTATGTTTACATGGACATAAGTAATCAGATTAAACGGCCAGTCGGAATAAAAATGTGTCATGTAAACGCCCCATTCGGATTATTTCTTTGCCGATTCAGCTCGATCCGAAAGAATTTATAATCAGAATGAGACGGGTGGTTTATGCCGATTCATAATCCAAACGGTGACCTTAATCTGTTCATTTTTTTCAGATCTTGAAAAACTGACCTGACTGCGCACGTGCGAACTATGCCTACATCACGTATTCCCACCTGGCTAATGCTAATAATAATAATCAGGTCTCTCTTGTAAATGAGTCCTCGAGGCTCAATGGGATTTACCTGACTAAATAAAGGTTGAATGAAAAATAATATTAGCATGTCGGGGAAACAAAACTGGTCAGTGAGCGACACAACATTTCTAACTTTGGAAGAGCTCAAAATTATATGTATTAAATGTAGCTCAGTCAGAGAGTGCAGTAACGTCTCCACCGTCATTAAAACATGGCGCGGGTCCATTTTGAGCGCTCTGTCATTCCCCTATCAGTTACGGAAGCACAATCTGTAGTGTATTTCCAGGTCGCACAGACCGCCATTGTTTATGAATAAAAACTGTCTTAGTTTACTTAGAAAAGTACGTGCTCTATCTCCACCGATCGTCATGTAGCTATTTATGTCAGTCGTATTTCCATTATAAATCATTACGACCCAATAGACCTGACCCCCAGCCTGGGCTGAATGAGAAAAACCCTGCAAGATACAGAATGAATTATTTCCATGGTGAAACAGCGCCGCTCAGTGGTGAAGCTGCATGTCATTTTAACCATGACGTAAATATGTCAATGATTTTAACAGAAATACGAGTGGCGTAGTTTAGCAACATGAAAATCGGCAGAGATAGAGCACATACTTCTCTAAGTAAATTAAGACAGTTCTTATTCATAAACGGAATTATACCAGTACATTTTACTTAATCTAGCATATTCACTGGCGATCCGTGCAACCTGGAAGTATTCCTTTTAGCGCATGCGCAGATGAGCAACACTACGGATCATGCTTCCGTAACAGATTGGGGAATGACAGGGCACTCAGGTTTGTTTACGTTCATCCAGGAAGTAGAACTTCTTCTTCTGTGTTTTTTTAAGGAGAGTTTATCACTCCGCATGTCAGTGTTGCCAGGTGTATGATAACTATCGTATTTGTACGACAATTTTGCCCTCTGTACGATGTACGATCAATAGTCCCAAAAAAGGCCAAATGTATGATAATTTGACCATTCCGTGAATGTGTGGTTGAAATCGGTTGTCATCAGCCTCTCGCAACTGTCTGTCTGAGTTTTTTGTGATCTCTGAAGGCATCTGTGTCCGCAAACAGATGCAGGATTGGCTGGCCAATCGTGCTTTTCTAAATGTGACCTACGAGTGACGTGTTTGCGTTTGCCTCAGAACAACAGCCATGATTGGCTGAAAAGTCTGCTGCGCCCCATGAGTGAGTAAAAGAAAAGAAGAAGAAGCAGAGTCGGTCTGGAAGCTGACCCATAACTATTATAGTGCATAAATACATTTGTTATTCTGGTTATGATGGGTGTACAATAATTTCCCTCAAAATATGATAATTTTATGTCTCTAGTACAATAATGTTCAGAACAAAAGCCCGCTGCATGTAAATGCTCATCGTGAACAGATTGTGCCCATAAAAAAACAATACATTTGAATAATTTAATCTGAAAACATTTCAATCTGGTCAAAGAATTTTGCGCATGTAAACATAGCTACTGTCAATTTTTGAGAAAATTAAAGGATTTTAAGTGCGCCTTATGGTCAGAAAAATACGGTACTAACTAGAAAATCATTAGTAGGTGAGGCGTGAAAGAGTTAATGTAAACGCTATTAGAAAGGTTCAACTAATACGTCATGAATTTGTTGATCATTGATTAAATGTATTGGTTGAATGAGTTGTCAGATAAGGTTACAAGAAAGAAATAGGTGCCAGCCTGAAGTCATCAAGCAGAAAAAAATGACAAAAATGTAAAGCTCTCGATGCTACCATACATCTCACAGGTTATAAAACTGACATTTTAAGTCTTGCAAATCTGTTTCATGCATTTGTTTGTTTATGTTTGACTCATGTGCATTAAAATGTTTTAACCTACCTTATGGCTGGCTGTCAGAAAGGTTCTGTCTTCCTGATGATCTCTGGGGCTCAGTTGGGGTTCTTCCTCTAAACTCTCATCCAGGCTCTGCACGGTCAAACCTGACACCTCATCCAGGATGTCCTCTACAAAGACAGACAAGAAATTTAATTTGTGGCCTTTTTTTTAAATCCGTAAACAAACCTAACCTAGGATTATTTTTTTAATCTTTTTTGTAATTTGGGGGGGATTTTATACACTCAGAATAACATACCGGTACTCATCCCTCTTTTTTCAATATTTTTCAATACAGTCACAAAACATATATATATATATTGTGTTGCATTTAATTACATTAATAATGTAATAAATTAACATTCCCATAAGCGTCTCTTATAATTTGTCTTTATGTTATCTAGTCTCTTTGTGTTTAAGAATTCATGTACACCTCAAGCATGACATCATTAGTGACCTCCATCTGGCTGCAGACAAGTTCTACTCTCCATCTGACCCCCCAGCATATGGCTCATCCTCCATGATGGCAGCTCCACACCGCTGAAGGATGCATATTAATATTCATACCGCTCTGAGTCCCTGTATAAACAATGCCAGCTCGTCAGCTTGTGCATTACAAACCCTTGTTTCACAGGAATACAAATGGCGCCCTTGCACAAAATAAAAAGAGCAGGTCAGAGGAAGGCTAGTGGCTGCCTGTGGGTTAGTTACCAGACAGTATGCTTATAGAATTACCAAGCCCCATCTTTTATCTCCTGCAGGTAGTAAAGCACCTTTGTCCTCGCTACACAAAGTTTGGGGGTTTAATGGTGAGTGGTTGTAGTGTAAATGAACAGATCTGTTGATTTTATATTCCACAGAATAAACCAGAGCACAAAGTCTTACCTTGGCTCTGGGAGAATATATCTGTGGCCGTTTCCTGTTCCACGTCAGAGCGCCGAGGTGGACACGAGCAGAGAACTTTAGGGTCCAGCTGGGGCAGGGTGCTGACGCTCAAAGTGAGCATATGACCTGCAAATGCAGCCTTCATATCATCCATCTGGAGGTCAGAGGCTGGTTTACCATTAAGGGACAAGATCTCATCCCCTGCTTTTAAACCTGGATGGGGGGGAACAGAAACAATTGGGTCACATATAACACTTATGAAAAGCAGAAACACAAGAACATGAAAGGGGTTTATTTTATGTTATTGAATGATGATTTTAATAAGGGAATATTTCCCAAATTAAAACAGTCCATAACACAGTGGTTAAAAGCAACCAAATGGTCTAACGATCATCTGTCAGGTTCATGACAATGACTGCACTAATGGATACAAGTCATTAACGCAAAAGTAAAACCTTGGCTCCATATTTTCTCGAACAACAACTCTGAGACTGATCAGACATGCTGGAACTCCCAAGTGCTTCAAACACATTAAATTTGCACCCTTCCATGCTTGCGGCAAATACTGATTTAACAAGACTGGATAGATTTAGGGTGCAGTGCTTGTCTATTCTTGTCCTCTCGTGTCATCATATATATTATCTGCATGGCCGTACGAACGAAAGAGAACTCCCTCTGCCTTCATCGAAATGCAACTTCGTCTGAAACGACCCCCTCTTTCATATCCATGTTCAGCCGGGTCCTAGATCTATTATTTATCACCTGTCTGCAAACATAGAGCAATCATGTTTTTGCTGTGTGTGGGTGTGTGTGTGTGTGTGGGGGGGGGGGGGGGGGGTTGTACTTTTAGCAAAATACCTCATGAATCGCACACCTGATTTGAATGAAACCAATAATTGTGTTATCTACAGCATATTAACGTTTAAAGTCATCTTTTTCCAAGAGGGCAGCCACACCTAATTATCCAAAAATTGTTATAACTTAACCAAATTTAAAGATATTAAGCTAAAATTTAATATATTCGTAGCTGACACTGATCCCAAGCTTTGTCTTTGAGCAATAATTGATTCTGTGAGATTTGCACTCAAAACTCTGGCATTAACTATTGCAGTCAACTCTATCTGACTGTTAGCAAAATATCTCATAAACCAAAGAACAGTTTCTATTTAAAATTTCAGGGAAATAAAATTATTGCATGGTTATAAAATTCATTAACTACTGGTCTTAGGTAACACAAATATGGCAACAATTCAGTAAATTGTACAGATGATGAGCTGAACTTTAACGTGGCAGTCGCTGAGCGTTCCCCACATCTTATACTCCGAGTGTGATACGCATTCAAGCTTTTTTATGCAGGTAAGTCTCACTGAGTCACGAGGACTCATTTGCATAAACCATAAATGGTGTTCACACAACAATAAATATTCATACGAAAGCATATAAAATTAAAAATATGGTAAAAGAGTGATATAAAACAAAATAGAAAACAAGCTACATTATAAAACGGTGCAAGATACTAAAAACAGGAACATGTCTGCATTGATTTTTGCATTAATAGCATGCATCTATCCTGAAAAATTATCTGAGATTACAAGTAATAATATTTTTGAGGCTTGACCAAAGCGGCTACAGCTTCATCATTTCTCATAAAAAGGATTATATTAATTTGAAACTCTGAATTGAAAGACAAGGGGTGAGAAGAATTTCTTTAAGATATGCTAGGCCCCGTTTGAGATTTAGCACTTAATCGGTCAGCTTCACCAATTAACCTGTTTGGTTGTGGCAGCTGTTCAGGGCATTTAAGTATAACTTCTCAAGGTTCAAGGTACTTTATTGTCATTCGCATCACATGTGGCACATGAGTCGGAACGAAATTGCGTACTCAAGGTCCCAGTTACACCCAAAATAACAAAAATATAAAGTGCAAAAAGAAACAGTACATAAGGATCTAAGATATACACTAAACACTGATAATTTAAAATACTATATATATATATATGTATATATATATATATTAAACATATTAAACAGCAGCCCAAACATTTCCTCCTTTCACTACAGAAAAAAGTCACAAAAGGATTTTAGCATAATCCTACATTATCACTTAAACTTCGGTTACACCTATATAGTAATACTTTGTAGAAAAAACAGACATTTAGTAAAATATGCAAGCACACACACAAAGCTGCATATAGACACAAATTTTGAGATGGGAACTGTCAGCTGGACATAGACTTATAACCCTTCTGGCCATAAAATGATGTGTGTGGGGGGAGGGGTGCACGTGCACGTTCATGAGTGTGAGAATGTGTATGCATGACTGGGTATGTTGCACTCATGTGTGTGTGTGTGTGTGTCTGTGTGCGTGTGTGTGTGTGTGTGTGTGTGTCTCCATGGAGGGAGAAGGAACTGAAATTCCTGCAAGAGAAATAAACATCTGTTGGAGCTCCTTGTCTCGTGCTCCTCTCTGTGTAATCTCCTCCGTTCATCATCCATTCTTTTCCCAATGTGCAAAGACAAAGGCTGATCCCACACTTTAGCCCACTAACGCATTGCTTGACATGCTTTTGTAACGTGAATGCTGTGATGCAGCACAATGTAGCACAGCTGAGCAGAAACATGCACCATGTCACAAGCTTTTCGTGTCCCTGAAGAGGTGGATGGTCCAGCTGTGTCCTCTGGCCTACTAAAATAGAAGCTTATGGATTGCTAACACACCAGAGGTCACAATCTCACACTTGGTTAACCTTGGTCTGACCCTGGGGCGCAGTGGTGGAGCGTGTTATTTTCTATACATTAAAGCTGTATCTGCAAAATGGCTTCTCAAACCCATTAGGTCTCTCCGTGATAGGGATTAGGGTGCGTGTGTGTGGGTGTGTAAATACACACACGTATGAAGAATCTATGTGTACCTTTGGCTGAAGCGAGTCCTCCTGGTTTCACCTCAGTAATATGAAGCTGCTGCACTCCATCCTCATCAATAACTGCCACAGAAAAACCTATAAACGTGAAGAAATGGACACAGGGTGACACGACGGTTTAGTTCTTTTTGAATTTTCTATTTGAAAGGATGCACTGCTGCATAAAAATGAAGCAATTCGATCCACTTAGGACCACTTGTGCTCTCACTGGGTCGTTTACTTTCCGTAATTATCAAAGCATGACTGAATAAAGTCCAATAAGAAATCAATTTGTCACAGAGTTGTAGAGCGTATCAAGAAATAAGGACTACTGGTGAAGATGTACGTACAATATCCAATGGTACTGGACTCGGCTCTGTCAAAACAGATCACCTTGGTAGCTTTATGGCAAATCTCAATCTCTTTGTAGAGCTGCAAACACAGACATGTATATTTAATTGCAAAAAAAAAAAAAAAACCTGAAGGTTAGAGCAACAGATAAGGTCAAGGCTAAAACTCTCAATAAAGAATAAACATGTTCATGCATTATTCCAGCTCCTCAGGAGATCAAGTGCAGTAAAGGTTTGTAGGGTCAAATTAAAGGTCAAGTCTGTGAAGTGAGAGAATGTTCATACGGGGCTTTAACCTTATCCCAGACAAAGGCATAGACACAGCTGTGTGTATGGAGCAACAGCCTGGACGGACGCCTGCGCTGTGCAATATCCTTCACCGAAGAGAAATAATAATGTAATACCATACGCTGAGGATGAAAGAGGCTGAAATGAGGGACTGATCAAAGCAGGAAGATAAAAGTTGCTTTTGTTGAAAGGTGCAGTTAGTTAGTGATTGAGCTTTGGAGAAAGGTTCATTATATGACCTGCTCCTCCACAAAGAAAATCCATTCTGGGAATAATGTGGAGGTGAGCTCCTTTATAAGCAAGTTGTTTGTGTGAATAATATAAAAAGTCCGAATACGGATATGCGCACACATACTGCGCAGTACAAATGGATTTCATTCAGAGTGCACATAATAAAAATCAGAATGCAATTTTGAAATATTTATAGCATATTGCAAAAATGTGTCTTTTGCTTTCTGGGAATTTTGTGTGTTTGGTATAATAAATCTAAAACCAGGTCATATGATATGCACTAGATTCCATCCTCAACATAATTCATTCATTTTGAGGCAGAGAAACCCAAATGAAACACTATTTCTTAGATCAGACTGCAATAAAACAGCTGATCATTTCTCCTAGCAACACAATACAAAACCTCTAGTCAGCAAATTGGATTATTTTATAAATGTTTGCAATATAATGTAATCTAGATGCTGTAATGTGTATTTTTCTTACAAAATCAGAGATGTCTTCTTCAAATATGGGAACGTAAAAAAGCGTTTGGTCATCAACCCAAACCTTTACACGCAGGTAGTGTCCAGAGGGGTCAATCTTATGGGTCTGCAAGCAACAAAACAAAAAAAACCATATTCATTATTAAATGCTACATTTGACAAATAGCTTTTTCTGTGATTATAATATTGCATATTTTTGTCACAGCTCTAAAATTAATTGTTTGCACTCCTGGCAGTATAAAAGCAGGTTATGACACAATAAAGTAACAGTATATACTAGGATTGAACAATAATCGGAATTCTGTCACATCAAATCATAGCTCACTGTGTTTAAATCTCTCATACTCTCAGTTATTCCTACCTTACAGACGGAGCTCAGGACTTCCATTGCTGTTTCACCTGGATGTATAACAGCCAGGATGGGCTGATTGTTCGGCAGACACACCCAGGAGGGTTTCAGGTGGTCGGGAACCCAAATATCACTGTCCACCGTCTGGTTGGGAATACTTTTCACTGAGTTTTCGGTTTTCTTCTAAAAAGATACACATAACCCACAGGTCAAGGTCAAGGTTCTTTATTGTCGCATCACATGTGCTCCATGAGGTGTAATGAAATTGTGTACACAGGGTCCCAGTTACATCCAGCAATAGCAAAAATATAAAGTGTAAAAAGAAACAGTAAACAAGGATCTAAGATATAAACTAAAATATATGCTATACGATATACAATACACTATATATGATATATGATACACAATAAAAAGATATACGCTGAACATATACAATATACTAAGTAAATGTACTCATGGTGGACTTTAATCAACAGCATATCTGTGAAATGTAATTTGTCACTTGTACATCGTTTGTGTGAAATTTCCACGTTCATTTTGTTTGCACTGTTTTCTGTAACCTTGAAGATCCTCAGATTGATCTTCAGCAATCTGTCCCCTACGTCTGCCTTTCTTCTATTTGACCCCACAACATCTATAATATATATCTTGTATCAGATAACAGGGTCCAGATTTTCTCTTTCATTCTTCAATCACATCCCCCTCCCCTCCATTAATCGTTGCATCTCCGTGTGCCCTTTCCCCTGTCTGTGCATTACTCCGTCAACTACTCCCTCCCCTTTTTTATGTAATCTGCTGACAATTAGCAACGTGTGATGTGGTCCCTGTTGAAATTAAACCAAAGCTCAGCTCCATCTCTGTGTGTGTTAGCATGCAGGAGATTATGTGCAGTAGTTAATGAAAGAAGTTAACGAAAGGTGAATTAAATTCAAATTCAAATGCGTCTTAACACAAACTGACAGACTTGTGCACATACTAAATACAGATACACAAAGAAAAGACACATTTTCCCAGACAGACAACAGGCTGGGGGGCCCATAACCAGGACCTCCCCCCAACTCCCTGAACTCCCAGGCTTGTTCTGCACCATCTGGCTTCCCTCCTGGCCTAAGATTCCTCTGCTGAGGGGGGTGAAGTGCTTCCTGGAGGCATTTTAACATTTCCTGATCTCTCATTCCCTCCTATGCTAACACGACTCCCCAGAATCGCAGCTTGGACGAGCCCATCTGCCTCGTCCACTTGAAGCTAATCTTGCTAGAAAACCCTCACTGTGGAAATCAAATGTGTGTTTGCAGCAGTTTATGCTCTTTATAGCTACAAATCAAGGCATGCTAAGTTTTATGCCTTTCTTTATAGTCATCTCTGCCAGTAGAGGTTGAGCGTGGGTGGAAGGAAATTGATCTCTCGTTCTGCCACTGGGGGCCCTCACAGCTAGAGCACTTGATTGCTCCAGTTTTTTCTTCCGTCTGCCGAGTTCAGACAGAGGCTTGTCTCTCCTCTCCCACATCTCCTTTGCCTTTTATAACTTTTCATGATATACAGCGCTAACATGCCTGTCCTTGCACAACCTCCAGTATGAATAAATAGGACATTTTTCTTTATAGTTTATGCAAAATCACCACTCACTCATCTGTAATTAAATATAAATGAACTGTATGTCAGGCTGAAGTTTAATTTCATTTGTCTAAATGGGGAGACGAGTGCAGAGATGGTTGGAAACTTCCAGGCCCTTTACGATGTCATTTCTGCATAATTTGACCTTATGATCTACAAATATCAGATTCATTTTTTCTTGATAGGGTATATCAGTCTCTTTCAAGTTGATGGAGTGCAATTCTGATAGAGATAGAATTGCCTGAAGCAAAAGAAACAGAGTTCTGTCAAAACTAATGTAAAATTGTTGATTAAAAAAAAAATTGTTATTTCTTCTTATCATACTAAATGGCCACTACTGGGGGATACCAACTTATCGACTCATGCAAGATGAGGAACTAGATTTGGCTAATTTAAAATTTTTATAAATCTGCAAATTTCTCAGGTCACTACACATCAAGAGAAAAGTTGATGTCTGAAAGTGTTACACCAAGAGATTGAGAATGAGCTCAAATAATTGCTCACTGGTGCAAAATAGTGCATGGATTTTGTTACTCCCTCAGATGACCCACTGAATAAAGAGCCAGTGCGTCAAACCCATTCCAGCTATGAGAAAGGAAGTGGAAAATCCAGCTATCCTGCTGCCGCGGGGTCTTAAGAAGCCCCTATCTCGTTATACAAGCACAAAAGATTCATCAGATGCCCCAATGGTCTTCTATTTTTTGGTTTACAAGAAAGACAAACAATGGCCCGTAGTTAGCCTAAAGCTAAAAGTGCTCTTGTTCTCTGTAGTGAAACTAAAAATCTAAAAAGTAACTGAGTTAAGCCTGAAGAACATTATAATGGTATGGACATTAACATTTGTTGTTGTGGCTTTTTCATCTCCCTTTAGCAGTGAGGATCAGTGTATAGGTTGCTTGTCACCTCTGTTTTTCTGGCTCCTACACACCTGTCCTCTACCCTAATCACCCCAGGTGTCCCTCATTGTCAATCACGGTTGTTCCTATTTATTCGGTGTCTTGTCCTCCTCTCATTGTGCGTAGATTTTCCCCCTTGGCATCACATCCTGTTCTCTCTCCATGTCACCTCATCAGTATAAAATTGCTGCAGTGTAGGCCGTTATTTTGTGTTACTTAAATAAATACATTTGAATTATTCCTGAGTCCTCCGAGTCCTGCCTGCACTTGGGTTCAAACACACTCAGATCTTGACATTAGCTGCAGCTTGGGGAAAAACAAGGGGCTGAGATGGTGTAGAGACAGTGCAGCCGACTCGGGACCCAAAAGTCCCGGTTTCGATCCCCAGTCATTGCACATCTCATGGTGTCTCTGAGCAGCACACCTTATCCACAAAATGCTCTCCGGGTGCTTTCAATAGCTGCCCACTGCGCCACCTGGTGGTGGATGGGTTAAATGCAGAGATTCAATTTTGCCATTTTATGGGAACATACAATGATGACAATACATACTGTACACTTTATCATTATTATTATTATTATTATTATTAACTAATAAATAAAGTCAAGTTAGAAACAGCCTTTATTGTCCCACGGATGGGAATGTTAAGACCTAAGTTAGTTAAGATCGTAAGTTATGACCTCTTCTCTGATGCCAACTGTATTTGAAGCTTGTAACAACAGTAAAAGAGCTACTCGTTTAAATAGTGACACTTCATTAAAAAAAAAAATTAAACTTGTTTAAAACTTGTAATTTCACTTTTTATCACCAAAAGTCTAGAATCTTGGATTATTTATTCACCAAGAACTTTATCTTTTTTCTCTGTCTTCTTATATGGGCGGCTGTGGCTGAGTGGCTAGAGCAGTTGTCCTCCAATGCAAGAGTTGGGGGTTCGATTCCACCAGCAGTCACATGCCGAAGTGTCCTTGGCAAGACACTGAACCCCTCATTGCCTCCGATGTGTCCCATTGGTGTAAGAATGTGATAAAGCACTGATTAGTCTTTGTATAGATCTAGTAGAGTGCTGTATGAATGGGTAAATGAGGGCAAAGATTGTGGTGTAAAGCGCTTTGAGTATCATGATAAGATAGATAAGTACAGTCCATTTACCATTTATATTGTGATTTGTTAAAATGCATAATGCTCATCAGACTTCAGTTAATTTTATTCAAACACCTTTGACTCTGGGACATTGCTTCTGTCCAAACAGGTAAAAATGCACTGGTAATGTGAGTCACATCTTGTTCACATTATTCTCATTAGACAATTTTGATGCATTAGTTTAGTTTAGGTCTCAATTCAAAGGTAGAGTTCTGAAGGTGCATGTGGTCTATAAAAGTTTTCGAAGAGCTTACAGATTTCTCACTGGCAGAATCTTCAAACGTGCGTTCCAGGGGTTTTCTCACAGGTTCTAGCTGATCTTTAAATACCTGAAATCAAAAAATAAATATGTTAAACTGTTTTTTATTTACTCAGCCATAGATAGATTATTATGCTATTACAAATAAAATGTGCAAGGTTCAAATATTAAACTTTTAGACACAGAGTATTATTTTTATTGTTGATTCAGTGTGTCAGTATAATCTAGTAGCTATCTCACTATAAAACTGAAGCATTTTAAATCAGATGGATAACCCAGTGTGATCAGAACCTGGTCAATTGAAGGATGTGCTTTGCTTTTCCTCTTGGAGACGGTGTCCAGACCCCAGAGGGAGGAGAAACGGCTGCGGCGTTTGCTGAAGGTACGTGGCAAGGCCTGGTTTCTCTTCCTGATGCTACTTTCAGTACGAGCAGAAACCTGTGACAGTGACGAGTGCAGGAAACATTAAAAAATGGACCATGTTTTTCAATCCTAAATACCAGTGCTGGTAATCTGCAATTTGATTATCATATACATCAAATTGAATCTTCATAAAAATGTTGATCAACATTTTAAAGCTATAAGGAAAACATTTGTTGCAGTCACAAAACATATTTATCCATTCACAACATTTTTCCTGCAAACCTGCACGTCTTTTAGCACTAAGAATATATTCTCAGACATGCGTGTCAGCCATGGTACGTGCCCTAATAACGACATTATAAATAAAAACAGTTACATTTCAATTAAACAGTTTTACTATTGCCAAACAAATGTACTGTAGGGTTAAACCTACAGTACATGCACTTCATCAGACATTCTGTTTTAATGTCCATGTTTGGGGCTGAGATGGGGTAGAGGTAGAGCAGCCGACTGGGGACCAGAAAGTCTTGGTTAGACTCCCAGCCATTCCCACATCGTGGAGTCTCTGAGCAAGACACCTAATCCCTAATTGTGGGCGCTTACACAGCTGCCCAGTGCTCCACCTGGGTGTACCTCACGTGTGATGGGTTAAACGCTGAGAACTAATTTCACCATTATATGGGAACATACACTGATCACAATCTCAGACTTCCCCTTCCTCTTTTACGCATCATCCTTCCTCTTTTGAAAACAGGATTAGCGGTATAAACACATTTTTCAGGAGTGTACGGTAATATACATTCATGTATAACATGAATGCTTTCAACTTTTGATTTTGTTCAGTGACCTACAACAAAAGCACAGATTAAAAAGGGAAAAAAAAGAAAAAGCTTTTGGCATTTCTGGGTTAATTCACACTCAACTGCTGAACCATGAACAGTTCAGAGTCAGTACAATTCAGCACATGCATGCAGTGCATGCACACACCACACATATAATGTGTTACATTGTTGTCTGTTCATAAGATGTTAACACATCAAACTTAACAAATCAAACTGACTGTAATGTGCTTCTTATTGTGATAAGTTGTTTTACAGCCAGTGTCTTTTAATAAAGACAATAACAACTCCATGAACATTGGGGAGTTATCGTAGAAAGAAATAGACACTAGAAACTGTTCTGTAACAATTACAAGAGATCTGTGTTATTCTTGCCTACATAATTTGTTTTATATTTTACTAACTGGTCGTCTGATTTAATTTATGTACTAGCTTGATATTTAATTTGTTATTGGATTGAAAAAAATTTAAATGTAAGAATTAAACTGCTAATGGTAAAGAAGGAGAAACTGGCACGTGTGTTGAATAAAAAGAATACATAAAGGCAGTAATTAATTAGGTTGATAAGGAAAAGGTAAGAAACTGGGTAAGACAGACAAAGAAAGTGCACTGTAGGCAGTAAAAGCAAAGGGAGGCAAGGGTTCAGAGAGTGTTAAGCCTGTTTGTGGGAAAATGCCTCGGGGATGCTTACTAAAAGAGTTTGTATTGATCCACAAATCACAAAAATACACTGCTCATGTGTAATGCTGTGGGTGTGTGTGAGGAAGAAAGAAAAGGTGAAAGAAATGTTCATGCGTTTCTCATGGACAAAATCTTGTTGCTGTAAAACTGAACCACAAAGTTTGTTTTAACGCAACCTACTCCTCACTTTATCCTCTGTTTCCTGTTTGATGCTGTGCAGTGAACACACGTCAGTACACATGAGCACCACCTGAGGTGCCCTGGCAGCAGGTAGAGGGTTAAGGGCCTTGATCAAAAGCCAACAATGGTGCAAATGAGGTGGAGACAGATGTGGGTATCCACCCAAATATTTTGTGCCAGTCTAAGGATTCTAAACCAGTGACCTCCTGACCAAGATTGTCTTCTTTAACTTCTTCTCCACCTCTCTCACAAAGCCATCCACCAGTGACAAGGTGGACCTCAGATTGCCTTTGTTTGTTTTAACACATCTTGGATATGATTGACTGGATTGAGCTCAGGGGAATGTGAAGATCATGACATCATTGTGGCAGTTTCCCATGTTCCTCAAGTGATTCATGAACAAGTTTTGCAGAGTGTTAATCATGATAAAAAATTTTTTAAAAAGTCACTGGCCTAATAGAGTTATGACAGTAGGTAGATTGTGACAATGTATCGACAAGTGGCAAAAAAAAAAGAAAGGGTTAATTGTGAATCTAACAAATTTAATCGTCTAGATGGATGAAATTAAAAAAATTATTAAAACAATTAAAATTTTGTTAAAACGTTTTGTCTTTTATCTAAAAGACTTCATTAGTCTGAGGAGTTGCACTAAACTCAGTCTTATAAATAGCCCCTTCTCACAGTGGATCAACCAGTTGGCTGCTGACAGCCAAAACTAACTGTTCAGGACAATCAGCCTAATGACCAATCAGCGCCCTGATGGCCGCAGAGGGCTGAGAATTACTAATAGCATTGTAAGAAGGTGACAGTTGGGCATGGAGCCTCCGCCCCTGTTTAATGATGGACCGTTGCTCTGCACAATTGGAAGAGTATGTACCAACACTGCTCTGTGGGTTTACACCTAAGGTAATAACACACCAGTGCTCGTTTAAATCTAAAGTCAAAATGTTTGAAATAATGACCTTTGGTGCTCATAACCACAAGTTCTTGTACTAGTTTTGGAATGCTGTAAGCAGTGAACTGGTTGATGTCATTTCCTTGACTTTTGATGATTTTATTAGCATGGTTTGTCAGTCTTGATCATTCTTTCTATGTTGATGTTTCAGTTCATGCATTCTTAGAGTGCTTCAGATATTACATATGTCTGCATGAAACAGAGCTCATGACGTGGCTTTGAACCAAAGGGTAATGTCCTCAACAGCACATTGCACATACCACAGGTTTGGTTTTTTTTGTCACGCAGTTTATGAGGAAAATGCTTTTAGTGGTGCTTCGTGATGAAGAGGGATGTGAACATGTAATTCTCCATTTTAAACATTTTAGTGTTTAAGTTCAAATCTTCAAACTGAGAATATTATTATTCGGAAGTTCTCAAAAAGCCTGTTTTAATTTAGTTTACACATGGATTTAAGGCAAAGTCACATCTGAAACTGTCCATATCACAAAAAAAAGTTAAATCATGTCACCTGGACGGACAGTTTCTTTTTGGGAGAAATGTTTCGTCTTTCATCTGAAAAACTTTGTCAGTCTGAGGCCTGCCACCAAGATCTGCCCTATAAATAGCACCTCATTGATGTGTTTCAGGCAGCACGGTGGCGCAACTGGTAGAGCTGCTGCCTCTCAGCGAACATGTCCCTGGTTCAAACCCCGGTCCAGGGGCCTTCTGGGTGGAGTTTGCATGTTCTCTCCGTGCATGCGTGGGTTTTCTCCGGGTACTCCGGTTTCCTCCCACAGACCAAAAACATGCATGTTAGGCTGATTGGTAACTCTAAATTGTCCCTAGGTGTGAGTGAGAGAGGGAATGGTTGTTTGTCTCGTTTGTCTCTATGTGGCCCTGTGATGGACTTGAGACCCGTCCAGGGTGTACCCCGCCCCTCGCACAGTGATTGCTGGACATGGGCACCAGCGACCCCCGTGACCCAAAATGGAATAAACGGGTAAAGATAATGGATGGATGGGTGGATGATGTGTTTCAAGCCAGACTGCAGTGGAATTCCCAGAAACTGGTTTTACACATGCAAAAGGGGACCATCCATCCAAAACCATCAATCATCAGTGCATAACAATCAAATGCTTTAGGCCTGATGGCCAGCTTTGTTGGGAAAAAGCCAGAAATTAGTGTATTGTTAAGTGTATTGCTTAGTGTATTGTTTAGTGTTAGTTTAACCTATATCTTAGTGTATAGCTTTGATTCTTATATACTGCTCCTTTTTATACTTTATATTTTTTTGCTATTTTTGGGTGTAACTAGGACTTTGACTGCACAATTTCCTTCCACCTCATGTACCATATGTGATGTGAATGACAATAAAGATACTTAAACTTGAACTTGAGAAAGATGAAACTTTTCTTCCAAAAAGAAATTGTCCAGATGACATGATTTATCCTTTTTTGTGATTTGT